GTTCAGCCTGTGAAATCTGGGAGCCAGATCTGCTCTGGCGCTCGCAGGAGGAAGAGGATAAACGTGTGGATGAAGGAGGATGCTGGGTGGTGCTCCCAGGGTGAAATCTCAGGATCACAGAGGGGTTTGGGTTGCAAGGGACCTTAAAGATCTTCGTGTCGGAGTCAGATTTGGGTCTGCACCCCTGACTCCCAGAGCTCTCGATAAAAGCACCTGCAGATAGTCATATCCCGTGATTCTGTGACAGTTCAGTGGTGCCCATGGTGGGGTTGGCTGAGGGTTGGAATTCGGGACCTTTTTCTGCCCTGAGGAGGCTGGAATTTTGGGAATTCCAGGAATTCTGGGAATTCTGTGAGGCCTGTGAAGCTCCAGTACCCGTGTCCTTGGGCTCTGCTCTTCCCCTCTGAGGGGAAGGGAGATTTCTGCAATTCCTGTTTGGATCCCAAACTGGTTTGGGTGGGAGGGGACCTAAAGCTGATCCCATCCCACCCCTGCCGTGGCAGGGACACCTGCACTGTGCCAGGGTGCCCCAAACCCTTTCCAACCCAGCCTTGGGCACTTCAGGATGGGAAATCAGAGTTTCCATGAACCCTCACCTGGTACCAGCTCTGGATGTAACTCCAACCCCTCTGGAGTAATTTTTCTCTCTCCATCAGCAGGAATTTGAAGATCTCCTGCACTCGGGTGATTTAAAAACCCCAATCCAAGCTCCCTGCAGCCACCCAGGGCAGTGGGGGGTTAATGCTGCTCCCCCCAAAGCTGCTGTGCCTCCCCTCCTGGAACAAGATCTGAAACGTGCAGGCAGCTCAGTGAAGCAGAATTTTAATCTGAGATCTGTTTTTCTCAAGTCTGATTTTAAGATCCCATGCAGGTCAGGGTTGTCTGATTCTTCACAGTTCATTAAGTAGAGAGCAGCTCATGGTAGAGATTGACTTTTAAAAATGATGGATTTTTATTTATAGCAGAGTTCTACTCATTAATTTTAAAGGATGGAAGCATAAAAGCAGGAATGGGTTCATTAAAAAAAAAAAAAAGTGGCATTGGTAATTTAATTAAATTGGGGGTTTGCGTATCATTACAAAAAATGAAATGTTAGTTCTGGGCTGATTTTCCACCCGCTTGGTTGACAGCAGCCCCTGCTCCCAGAACCTGCCTGGGCAGGAAAATCTCCAGGTGGAACCTCCCAGCTCCAGGGGCTTTGGGGGAGGGTGGAAATAATGGGTTTGGGGGCAAGAAATGGTGTCAGGAGCTGGGATCTGCCCCTGGTGGTGTGCAGGGAGGGGCTGGGGGGGGGCTGGAGCCCCAAAAACTGGGCTTGGGGACACTCAGATGTGACCAGAGATCAGAGTTACAGCAGAACATCCCAAAACTGGGCTTGGGGACACTCAGATGTGACCAGAGATCAGAGTTACAGCAGAACATCCCAGAACTTGGCTTGGGGACACTCAGATGTGACCAGAGATCAGAGTTACAGCAGAAAATCCCAAAACTGGGCTTGGGGACACAGATGTGACCGGAGCTCACAGGGACAGCAGAAACCCCCCTGAAAATCCCCAAAAACTGAGCTTTGGCACACTCTGTGTGTGACCAGACCTTGCAGGTGCAGCAGAAAAAACCCTAAAATTGGACCTGGGGACACTGTGTGAGCAGAGCTCATGGGCACAGCAGAAAAACCCTAAAACTGGACCTGGGGACACTCTGTGTGAGCAGAGCTCATGGGCACAGCAGAAAAAACCCTAAAATTGTACCTGGGGACACTCTGTGTGAGCAGAGCTCACAGTCACAGCAGAAAAACCCTAAAATTGGACCTGGGGACACTGTGTGAGCAGAGCTCAGAGTCACAGCAGGAAAAACCCTAAAATTGGACCTGGGGACACTCTGTGTGAGCAGAGCTCAGAGTCACAGCAGGAAAAACCCTAAAATTGTACCTGGGGACACTCTGTGTGAGCAGAGCTCAGAGTCACAGCAGAAAAACCCTAAAATTGGACCTGGGGACACTCTGTGTGAGCAGAGCTCAGAGTCACAGCAGAAAAACCCTAAAACTGGACCTGGGGACACTCTGTGTGAGCAGAGCTCAGAGTCACAGCAGAAAAACCCCAAAACCTGACTGAAGCAGCTCAGGAGTGATCTGAACATGACATTAGCATAAATCCCATTGCAGGTGATGTCTCATTGCAGAATTTCCAGGCCTGGGCTCACCACAGCCCCAGGTGCTCTCTCTGGGAGCAGGGAACTGCTCCTGTGTCCATTTGGGATTAACCCTTCCCTCGCCTCCTGTCAGGAATCCGCAGGAACATCCCACTCCCCATCCCAAAGCGCTGCCCACAGTAGGAATTCCCTCAGCACTGGGGATTGATGTCCCATCTCCCCAGCTCTGCCGGGGTTTTATCCCTCTCTGTGTGTGCCAGGGCATCATTTTCCTTTTCCTCTCGCAGAAAATGGATCATTTTCCAGCACTGAGTGTGACCAGGGCTCTCCTCTGCCCTCCCAGCCCTAACGAAAAGGATCCATCCCTGGAGACGCTGCACAAGGGCCTGATTTCAGTTTGATGAACTCATTTTTAGGCTTGCTTGTCTTTGCTCGGGGTTTTTACCGGCCTCTAAAACTGTGATTGGAGTTGATCTCTTTTGGAGTGGCTGCTGGGAAGCTGGGGGTTTGTTTAAATTCCCTGGAAGTGCTGTGCAGAAGCACTGCCTGAGGATTTATTGGCATTTCAGCTGCAGCTTTCCCATCTTCGGCTGGAGTATGCCACATTTCCCCTGATTTTATTGGGCTCTGTTTTGCTTTAAGTGGAGCTGGGTCCAGCTGTGCTTGAGTCTGGTTTGATGCAAGTGTGTGAAATCTGGATTAAACAGTGAGAATTATAAATCCTGGTGAACTGAAGCATTGGGGTTTTTTTGCCAGGCAGTGTTTTGCTGGGTTTTGGGTGGATTTAAGGTGTAAAACAACCCTGCTTGTATTGCAGGGCCTGTTGAAAAATGTGAACGCTGGGTTTAATCAACTCAAGCTAAATAACCAAATGCAATCAAGTGATATAAAATTGAGAGGGAGAGTTTAGCAGTTAGGAAGAAATTCCTCTCTGTGAGGGCTGGGATGGATTTCCCAGAGAAGTTTTACCTGAGGAATTTTGCCATTCCATTTTTACCATTCCATTTTTACCATTCCATTTTTATTCCATTTTACCTCAGCCCTGTGAAAATTCCCTGTCCCTAACCAGGCCCTGCTTCCCCCAAATGGATTACTATATGGCCCTGCTTCCCTCAAATGGTTTTTAATGATGATTATTCCATTTTAGCTGAGGATTTACCTCAGCCCTGTGACAATTCCCTGTCCCTAACCAGGCCCTGCTTTCCTCAAGTGGATTATTCTGTTTTTAATGATGATTATTCCATTTTTCCTGAAGATTTACCTCAGCCTTGTGACAATTCCCTGTCCCTAACCAGGCCCTGCTTCCCTCAAGTGGATTATTCCATTTTCAATGGCAATTATTCCATTTTTCCTAAGATTTACCTCAGCCCTGTGAAAATTCCCTGTCCCTAACTAGGCCCTGCTTCCCTCAAATGATTTTTAATGATGACTGTTCCATTTTACCTGAGGATTTACCTCAACCCTGTGACAATTCCCTGTCCCTAACCAAACCCTGCTTTCCTTCAAATGGTTTTTAATGATTATTATTCCATTTGACCTGAGGAATTTTACCATTCCATTTTTACCGTTCCATTTTTACCATTCCATTTTTATTCCATTTTACCTCAGCCCTGTGAAAATTCCCTGTCCCTAACCAGGCCCTGCTTTTCTCAAATGGTTTTTAATGACGATTATTCCATTTTACCTGAGGATTTACCCCAGCCCTGTGAAAATTCCTTGTCCCTAATCAGACCCTGCTTCCCTCAAGTGGTTTATTCTGTTTTTAATGATAATTATTCAATTTTACCTAAGGATTTACCTCAACCCTGTGAAAATTCCCTGTCCTTAACCAAGCCCTGTTTTCCTCAAGATTATTCTGTTTTTAATGA